GGTAGCTACGTCGGGTCAGGTATTTGCTGCTGCGTCCAGGTCTGGTCCTGAGTCTGCCCCCTGCTCGTGTCGCCTCCTGTCTCACGAGACTCTCTTGTGGCACCACCGTCTTGGCCACCCCTCCTTACCTCGTCTTTGGGGCATGGCTTCCCGTGTCCTTGTCTCTGGTCTCCCCCGGTCTCTCCCTCCCCTTCCTTCGGGGCCAGGACCTTCCTGTGTCCCCTGTGTCAAGGGGCGGCTCTGGGCTGCCCCTCACTCCTCCCAGTTTCCCCCGACAGAGGCTCCTCTGCAGACGCTTCACATGGACGTGTGGGGCCCGGCCCGCGTCCGTGGACAGGGTCACGAGCGCTACTTCCTGCTGGTGGTTGACGACTACTCGCGTTACACAGCAGTCTTCCCCTTGCGCAGCAAGGGTGATGTCACTGAGGTGCTGATCGACTTGATCCGCGCAGCTCGTCTCCAGCTCAGGCAGAGCTTTGGCTCAGCCTTTCCTGTTCTACGTCTGCACTCTGACCGAGGCGGAGAGTTCTCCTCTGGCCTTCTGCGAGCCTACTGTCGTGCACGAGGCATCCGCCAGACCTTCACGCTTCCGGACTCTCCACAGAAAAATGGGATTGCTGAGTGCCGCATTGGCATGGTCATGGACGTCGCTCGTACGTCCATGATGCATGCGGCTGCCCCCCATTTTCTGTGGCCATTTGCGGTTTGGTACGCGGCGCATCAGCTCAACCTTCACCCCAGGGTCTCCCGACCGGAGACCTCCCCAGCTCTGCTGTGGACGGGGAAGGTCGGCGATGCGTCTGCGTTCCGTGTCTGGGGATCTCGGGCGTTTGTCCGCGACCTGTCTGCGGACAAGCTGTCCCCTCGTGCTGCTCCCTGTGTCTTCCTAGGCTTCCCCCCTGACGCCCCAGGGTGGCAGTTCTACCACCCCTCCTCTCGTCGTGTTCTGTCCTCCCAGGACGTCACGTTCGACGAGTCCGTCCCCTTCTACCGCCTCTTCCCCTACCGCACTCCTTCCCTCCCGCCGCCGCCGCACTTCCTTGTGCCCGGTCCCCCCCCGGTAGACCCCCTTCCCCCTCAGGGTCCTGCCCCTTCAGGTGTGTCCCAGGTCGATGCAGTCGAGCCGGTCGAGGTTGCTGGTGACTCAGGTACTGCTGGGGGTGCTGCGCCTGGGGGTGCTGAGCCTGGGGGTGCTGACTCTGGGGGTGCTGAGCCTGGGGGTGCGGAGCCTGGGGGTGCTGCCTGTGGGGGTGCTGAGCCTGGGGGTGCTGACTCTGAGGGTGCTGCGCGCGTGGGTGCTGAGCCTGGGGGTGCTGAGCCTGGGGGTGTTGCGTCTGGAGCTGCTGAGCCTGGAGGTGTGGAGCTTGCAGCCACTGGACCTCCCCTTGTGGCGTCTGGCGGTACTGGGCCTGGAGGTTCTCCGGGTGTTTCGTCTCGGCGGGAGCCACTCTCTCCACAGGAGCTGCGTGAGTGGTTTGCTCGCCGCTGGAGGCGTACTGCTGGAGCTGGCGCTTCTTCGGGCACTGAGGGTGCTGGTGCCGCCGGTCCCGGAGCTGCTGGGCCTGCGGGTCCGCCTGGAGCTGGAGCTGCTGAGGGTGTTGGTTCTGAGACTACTCCTGTCCGTCCTGGTGGTGGTCGTGCTGCGGGTGCTGCTGGAGGTCCTGCCGCTGGAGGTGCTGTTGGCGCTGGTGCTGCCGGAGGTGCTAAGGGTGCTGGTGCTGTCCCTGCTGTGTCTGGTGCCGCCGCGCGGCCTCGGCCGTACTTTGTTCCGCTCCTTCAGCAGGTTCTTGGTCTTCCTCCTCTCTTAGAGGGTCCACCGCCTGTCCAGTCGCAGTCACAGTTACCGCCGGCCTCCCCACTCCCTTCTCCCTCTCCCTACACTGGTCCTACTGGAGGTCTTGCTGAGCGTTGTGAGCCTGCGTCTCGTCCTGTGTCGCCTGTTCGTGCTGCTCGCACTAGTGGTCGCAGTTCGCGTCAGCGTCCTCCTCCTGTCCCTGGCACGCACCGGATGTCTCTGCGTCCGTCCACTGCTCCTCTGCGTGCCCCTTTGCCCTCTCCTCCTGAGTCCTCTCTTCCTGCGCTTGCTGACCCTGAGTCGGAATCTCTTTGTGCTGCCAGTCCTACTGTCACGCGTCTCCTTGCTACTGTCGTCACTGACCCCTCCTTTGAGTCCACTGCTGCGTCTGCTCTTGTTGCCGAGCTCGTCGACTTTGCTGCTCGCTGTCGTCTAGACTACGCTGCTAGTCTTGTTGCTGAGTCTGCGTCTGTCTGTCCTCCGTCCGTCGGGGGTGAGTGTGCTCTTGGCACGGACGTCCTTGAGGACAGGCAGGAGGAGTTTCAGTGTCTGGCTGCTGCTTCACCTCATCTCGCGTTTGTACTGCTTGCCCCTGAGGGAGACCCGGATGCACTAGACATCCCGACTCCGCGCTCTTACGCGGAGGCCGTAGAGGGTCCCTACTCCTCTCAGTGGCAGGCAGCTATGGATGCAGAGATGGCTTCCTGGAAGTCCACAGGCACCTACGTTGACGCGGTTCCCCCTCCTGGGGCGAACATCGTCAGTGGGATGTGGATCTTCAGGGTGAAGCGGCCGCCGGGCTCTCCACCTGTCTTCAAGGCGCGGTACGTGGCTCGTGGCTTCAGTCAGTGGCAGGGAGTTGACTACTTTCAGACCTTCTCTCCCACCCCAAAGATGACCACTCTTCAGGTGCTGTTGCACATAGCCGCTCAGCGCGACTACGAGCTTCACTCTCTTGACTTCAGAACTCCTTTCTTGCAGGGTATCCTGCACGAGGAGATCTGGCTGCGCCGTCCACCTGGCTTCACTGGGACTTTCCCTCCTGGCACCCAGTGGAGCCTCCGACGGCCAGTCTACGGTCTCTGCCAGGCACCGCGTGAGTGGCACGACACACTAACAACTACGCTTGCGGCTCTTGGGTTTGCTCCCTCTACTGCTGACCCGTCGTTGTTTCTGCGCACCGACACTTCTCTGCCGCCGTTCTACATCCTCGTGTACGTCGACGACTTGGTCTTTGCCACAGCTGACACTGCTGGACTCGCCTACGTGAAGTCCGAGCTGCAGAAGAGACACACGTGCACAGACCTGGGTGAACTGCGCAGCTACCTTGGCTTGCAGATCACTCGGGACAGAGCACGCCGCACCATTACCTTGACTTAGTCACACATGGTGCAGCAGGTCCTTCAGCGCTTCGGCTTCACGTACTCCTCGCCTCAGGCCACTCCTCTGTCTACTCGCCACTCGCTCTCAGCTCTGCCTTCGGATGAGTCCGTAGAGTCGAGTGGCCCGTACCCAGAGCTTGTTGGCTGCCTCATGTACCTGATGACCTGCACACGACCTGACCTTGCATACCCTCTTAGCATTCTTGCACGCTATGTTGCTCCTGGGAGACACCGACCAGAGCACATGGCTGCAGCGAAGAGGGTGTTGCGCTACTTGTGCAGTACGTCGGGCATGGGGCTAGTGCTTGGAGGGCGCAGTCCAGTGGTCCTCACTGGGCACGCGGACGCTTCTTGGGCTGACGACCAGGCTACGCAGCGGTCGTCACAGGGTTACACCTTCAGTCTTGGTTCCGGTTCTGTTTCGTGGCGGGCTACTCGCTCGTCTTCGGTTCTCGGCTCCAGTTGTGAGGCTGAGATCTACGCCGGGGCCATGGCTGCTCAGGAGCTTCGCTGGCTCACCTACCTGCTGACTGACCTTGGAGAGCCGCCTCGTTCTCCTCCAGTGCTGTACGTAGACAACAAGGCCATGCTGGCCTTGTGTCGAGAGCAGCGCCTGGAGCACAGAACGAAGCACATTGCTCTCCGCTACTTTCTTGCTCGTGAGCTGCAGCAGCGTGGTCAGTTGCGACTTGCGTACGTGGCCTCTGAGGCCAACACTGCTGATGTTTTCACCAAGGCACTTCCGCCTTGTGATCATCAGCGTTTCTGCACTCAGCTGGGACTTGTCCCAGTCTTGCCTCACTTGCTCACCTCTTGACCTTGCTTGTACTCTTGCATATATATATACCTGCTCTTGCTTGTTTAGACTTATATATATATGTGTCTCCTCCTGCTTGTGAACTGGCCTTGTGGCCTTGACCTTGTGCTCAGACTGTGTGGTGACGTTGTGATCCACCCTGAGCTTGCTTTGCTTTGCTTTGCTTGACTGGTCTTGTGACCCTTTGTTCTCCCCCACTTTGCCTATGGGGGTGTGTCAGATCATTATAGCTTATGCTTTTGTGTAGGCTATAGTGGGGTATCCCATAGGGGGTACAACCCAATTAGGGTTAGTACTTGTACCCACTTCATTCATAGTCCATTCATTCTCGTTCTCATTGTCACAGCAACTGTATAACAGTTGCGCTGCGTCGCTTGGGTTGCCTTGTTACAGTCGCGCTGGCGAGACTTTTCAGCTTCGGCAAGGGCGCGGTATCCTGCTGCGCCCCTCAGGTCAGTTTCACCTACTGTAGACGATGACTCCTGCTGTCGATTCGACTCTTGAGCTGCCACGCGGGTCGCAACCGCTATGTTCGGTTGCGGCCCGTTGACTCGCCACCAAGTTCAAATCCCTCGCTATGGCGAGCCCCTGTAAACACACTTCGAACAGTGTACTTATAATAAAAGCATACAAACATATTCTCAACACTGCTGTTGCTGTTGCGGTTCGATACAGTGACGACTCGGGAAACTGATCAATAGCGAGTCAGTTGTTTGTCCTTGCTGTCGCGCTGTACTTGTCAGGTCAAAGGTCGCTGAGCTTTGACTTTCGTGTAACCTCCAGCAGTTGTTCAACCTCCGAGGGTTGACTCGCTGATGCTTCGATATGTTTCGCTTCGCTTCTGACTTGATGTTTCGACACGACAGAGGCGCTTAAGTTACTTGTTTCCAACAATGGTAAAGCTTCTAGCAAATCCAGGGTTCTGGTACGGTAACATTGCACTGAACTGCGATGTAATTCCCATTTCTGCCAAAACCAGGGTTACATTCCATCCAACAAACGAGAATCAGTGTGTGATCAAGTGCTGGCACAAGGCATCTACACCAATCCAAGCAAAGCTGAGAAATATTGGAGGCACATGGCCACGTGCCTCGTGCTGGTCACGCTCAATTTCCGTAGGATGGTAGCACACATGGTACCATGCAAAGGCACGCGCTCGAATGGTTGCCATGTCAAGGATGGCCGAGTCATCCATGACCTGGTTACACATCCACACAGGAACACAAGCACCAACAAAACAACCACATGCACACTCACGCACGCACACATGCAAAAATTACGCAGTCATGTTCATCCACGCACACGTGAAGTCAAAAGCGACATTTGCAGATTCACTGACTCCTCATGCGAGTATCCTGCTCAAGTGGTTGATGCAGTAAGGGCATGAACCCAGCACTTGTGTGTCATCTATTGAGCAGCTTCTCGAGCAGCAGTACACTGGGAGCACGCATGGAGACCCAAGCACACATGGAGAAGAGCACATGTGCAATGCGCATCGACAAGCACACCAACCTGCGGTGCCAGGGGCTGCTTCTGGCCCCTGCCGTGCTGCCGAGGGAGGCGCGGATCCCTGAATGAATCATCAACGCGCTTCTCCCCGTCGTCCCCCCCGCGCTCCCCGCCCTCCCTCTCCCCGCGCTCCTCCCCGTCCTCCCCCTCAGCGTCCACGCCGTACACGAGCAGGCGGTGGTAGCGCTGGCGCAGCGACAGGAACATGTTGCGCACGTGCTCCCTCACCGACTCCTCGCGCCGCCCGTGGCGGTGCGCGGCGTGCAGCAGGCTGCCCGACACCACCTCCGCCTCCGACATGATGCCAAACTGCCCACCGCCCAGGCGAGCATGGTGCACACACGTGAGCACACATGGGAACACTCAGGTGCACACACACTTCAACGGGCAAAGACAGCCGTACTTTGCTGATGAAAAATTAAGCTGGAAGTGTGACAGGAGGTGAGCGAGGGGCTGGGAGGGAGGAAGAGTTGATCGGCAACAAGACAGACAGATGTGCATGGGCACACCTGGTGCAGGATGTGCATGGGCACACCTGGTGCAGGATGTGCATGGGCACACCTGGTGCAGGATGTGCATGGGCACACCTGGTGCAGGATGTGCATGGGCGCACCTGGTGCAGGATGTGCATGGGCGCACCTGGTGCAGGATGTGCAGCATGGATCGGTCGTACTCCTGCTTGAGCCACCTCGCCTCCTCCACGTGCTGCTCGAACCCCTCTGCCCTCAGGTCCGCCCGGTACGCCCGCCCCACCTCATCCGCCCCCGGGTACCGCAGCCACGTGCGCCGGTCCGCCATCACGTCCGCCTCGCCCTCCCACCCCCTGCCACCCCACCCGCGCCCCCCACTCTCTCCACCCGCCCCTTGCTGCACCTCTGCCTCCGCCTCCTCGTCACTGCCCTCGTCCCCCTCCCCCACGTCCTCCTCGTCCTCCTCCACCCCCGGCACCACACGCGCGCGGTCGCACGGCTGCTCGCCCAGCACCATGCTCTTGACTCGGCGGTACAGCTGCCCCAGCACCTTGTCCGACACGTAGGTGTCCTGGCGGTCGTCCTTCTCCATGAAGTCGGGGTACTCGTGCACACGCAGCTCGCGCGGCATCACGCCCGGCACGCCCGTCTTGGGGAAGTCAAACGCCAGAGCAGCTTGGCGGGCGAGAGTGAGGCAGTTGGGGTCGAAGGCGTTGGAGGGGCTGCGGTCGGCGTGCACCACGTGCGCGTTGCAGATGATGCCCACGCTGTCGTTCAGCATGTGGTCCACGAAGAACCCGTGCACGTCCTGCAACAAGTGCCGCACAGCACGGACAGCCGTCCAATGAAGGCAAACGGCAGGGCGTGCAAGCGAGTTGAGGCTGTGCGTGACATGGAACCCATGGACCTCCTCACACGACATGTGGGTTCAGCACAGCACGCACGGCCGTCACAAGGAAGTTGCAGTTTTTGACCTCAAAACGATCTGCTGGATGAATTCAAAATGTGTGCACGGCAAGCTTACATGATGGATGGTGTTGATGCCACACGTGCACCGTGTGTGTGCGTCAGGCAGCTCCACTACGTACTTCATCACTTCAGGCTCACGACCTCCCACGAGTACCAATCATACGAGAACCAAAGGCATGGAGCCCACAGGCGGCACGCACCTGCATGGTGACGGGCGCATGGCTGTCCTGCTTGGCAGGCTGGTAGTCCATGGGGTCACTGCTGCGCCCCCCCGGTGGCAGCAGGCGCGGGTCCCACGAGACAAAGTACACGTCCCCGTCCATGTCACTGCCCGATGCCTCGTTGGCGTGCGGGCGCGGGCCGTGCTTGGGCAGCACGAGGCAGTCGATGAGGTGGTGCAGGCACGGCACGTCCACGGCGGTGAGCACGCGCAGGTCGCCCGGGTGCAGGCAGGGGTTCTTGCCAAACACCACAGGGCCCGTCACCACGCGCGGGGCCCCCATGCCGCGCCCTGTGCTGTGCAGCCTCAGGGTGGCGGTGGCGCTGGGTGCAGGTGCCGTGGCGTCGCACACCTGGATAAAGCACTGTCCGTACTGCCGTGGGGCATGGGGAGGAACGAGAAGGGACGTACATAAAAAAAAGGGTATATATACGAAATAGGTGAGTCTAATGGCACTGCAACACCTGCAGCAGCCCTGTCTCTCACCTGCAGCAGCCCTGTCTCTCACCTGCAGCAGCCCTGTCTCATCCACAATGCCCATGAGCCAGCGGCCGTCCTTCACGAAGATGCGCGCACGGGAGATGAGCCCCTGCAGCTGCACTGCGCTGGGGCACACAGAGCAGAGCGTGGCAGAGAGGGGGTGATGCGATGAGTGAGGCATGTCAAGTTGGATGAGGCGCGCATGCACACAGGTGGAAGGGTCAAGCGCCAATAGGGGCACAGCGAGGGAGGAGGAGAGACAAGCGATACAAGGGTCAGGACTATCATGTGACGCGGACCAACACGACATGTACCACCAGGTACCCCACAGCACCCACGCGTACCGCACGGCTTGGATGATGCGTTTGAGGTGCGGTTCCTGCGCGGGGTGGAAGCCCGCTTGCAGCATGGTGATGGCGGTGCCGTGCAGGTGGTCCGCGCCACTCTCCTCCAGCAGCTGCAGCGCTGCTGCCCCACTGCCCACCGCCGCCTCCAGCCGCCCCACCAACTCGTCCTGTACCCAGAGCGCACGGGTAAGGAACAAAAGAGTGGGGAGGGGAAGGAGGTGGGTGGGGGGGAGTGGGGGGTTGGGGGAGGGGAGGTGGGAGGAAGGGAGGTAGGGGGAGGGGAGGTGTGGGGGGGGAGGGGAGGTGTGGGGGGGAGGGGAGGTGAGGCACCTCCCATTACCCAGCGGCGCGTCCAGTGGCTCCACAATTGGGTGGGCTTTTATGCGCTGGCAGTCAAAACACATGGCTACCTGCCTCCCAGGGTGCACGCTTTCCTGCGCGGCGTGCTGAGCTTGCGGCAAAGCGGCTGTTGAATGCGGCGCCCACCTGTTGGGAGGTGTCGAAGCTCCTGACCGAGTACCGGCAGCGCTGGAGTGTGACACTCCAGTGGGCCCAGGCCAACGCACTTGGCAACAAGACCCACGAGGCCCTGGCCGCGGATGAGCTCGGCCTGCAAGGCCCATTTGACCCTTTCAGTGAGGGGCAGCTTCACCAGCTGATAGAATCTCCTGCCGACCAGTAGGGTCGGGGGAAGGAGGTGGGGGGAATAGGTGTGTGGTTGGCTCTCATAGCTTAGCTGAACGTAGTACCAGATTGACAATTGGCACGTACCTTGTATGCCTCTTGCTGCATCTAAGAGAAAGGACCATTCGACAAGGGGAGTTACAGATGGGAGGCGCACGAGGCAGTGCGAGGGGTGAGAGCCCGGGAGGTGGTGGGTGAGTGGGAAAGTTGCTCGCAACTGAGTGCAAGTGCACGCTGCAGTGATGGGCCGAGGGGGCTCAGAGGAAGCGAGACGAAGAGCAAGGGAGAGCAGCGGAGGAGCGGCTGACCTGCATGTGGAGGAAGACGTGGTCGGGCACGCCGAGCGTGGAGAGCAGTGTCACGATCTGCCGGTTCAGGTAGCACGGCTGGGGGCGCGTCCAGTTCACCACCTCCACATCAGCGTGCTGTGACTCAAACTTGTCCATGCTCTCCCGCACCCACATGTGCACCCCCCCTGCTGCTGCACGCCCTGCCTCACTGCTAGCCTGCCGTGCCTGCGCCCACCATGCGGCCGCACACTGCCCCTCTTGGAACCACAGATCCACCGCCTCCTGCTGCTGCCACGCACCCATGGCCTGCTCGACAGGACCAGGACCAGCGCCCCCCTGCGCCTCCACGCGCTGCATGACCCCGCGCGGCCACACGGCCACCATGCCCTTCACCCCCGCGTACCGGATCTGAAACGCCGACGGCGCACGCAGCCACGCCCCCGCGCCCCCCCCCACAGGCAAGTGAGCACGGTGAGGGGCAGCAGAGAGCGGCCTGTCGAGGTAGGGCGCGATGGCATCCGCAAGCGCCCTGGCCGCCTCAGGGGTCACGGCACCAATGCCGTCCGTGAAGCAGTAGCCGTGGCGTGTCACGTCCGGGAGATTGCGCACTTGGGCGCGGGGCAGGGGCAGCGAGGTGAAGCGCGAGGAGAAGCACTGCCCCATGCGCGCCGCGCACTTGGCCACGTTGCGGATGGCGGTGAAGGTGCCCATCCACGCCTGCCGCCATGGACCCAGTCCAACCCGCGTCCCCAGCACAGCATGGGCAACAACACCGCACACCCCCATGGCTCACTCCCAACCATGTACCACAGAAGCACGCACACAGGCACACACATAGACCGACTCACACGGCAGTGGGTGAATGACAATTAGGCTGGCCGGTTGACAACAAAGTGAGTGACTAATCACCTATGCCACTTACTGACAAACCGACTGACTTGCTTAAAGAATGCGTGACTAACCAATGGATAGCCTGACGAGCTGCGTACTAGACAGGCCGACTACATGGGCAACTGACAGCTTCTGACTGACTCATGGGCCGATTGACTGAGTGACCCATTGACTGGTGAGTGAGTGGCGAAGCATGAGCGCACCTGCACGGCGGCGACGGTGAGGCCGTGCCTGGCGTCCTCTGCCAGGAACCACGCCGACTTCTCCCTCAGCTGCGACGCTGACGACGCCAGGAAGCGGTAGCGCCGATCACACAGCTCAAAGCCCTGCCACGCCACACACGGGTGCAGGGGGCGAAAAGGGTGCATGCACACAAGGCCGTGGCGGCAGTTGAGACACTAAAGATCTGGAGAGCTTGTAAACGGCGAGATGAGCCAACAAAGTTCACAAAGAATGCATCCATCACCTGCTACACCACACCTGCAACCCCCACACGTGCTAACCCCTTCACCCTGCTCCACCCCCCACTTCCCCCCCCCACCTGGTTGACGAGCTTCAGAATGCGGTGGTACACGTCGGTGCGCGCGCTGTGCTGCGCCTCCTCCGCACGGTAAGCACCGCCCACGAGGGCGAACGACGCCAGCTGCCGCTCGCCCTCCTCCATGAACGTCACGCGCAGGAAGCGGTGTGCGTGGGGGCGGTAGTGCGAGATGACTCGGTTGGCCAGCTCCACACTGGGCAGGCAGCACTGCGCGGCCAGGGGTGTGATGAGGAGGCGGAACACCAGCACGTGGTTCTCGGGTAGCACCCACGGCCACGCCGAGCCCTCACTCTGCTCCACCGCCCCCTCTGCCTTCCTCCCCGCCTTCTTCTCCTGCCCAGTCTCCTCCTCCTCTCCCCCACGCCGCTCCTCATGCTCCTCTGCAGTGCCCTGCTGCTGCACCACCTCTCCTCGGCGCCGTGACTGTGTCCCCTCTGCCGCCCCTCCCCACGCCTGCCCGCCGCCTCCCTCCAACCGCTCGCGTCGCCACGGCAGCTTGCCTTGGTGGCGCATGGCGCGTGCGACGCGGGTGAACTGGCCGGCGGGGTCGAACTCGGGGCGCGAGTAGGGCATGAACTCCAGCAGCACCGCCACCGCTGCTCGTGCTGGCTCGCGTGCCAGCGTGCGGTACAGAGGGGCGGTCATGGCGGTGAGAGGGATGGTGCCCCGCTGCACCAGCAGCGTCAGCATGTACAGCACTGGGAACGTCAGCTCTGCTGCCTGCGCATCCCCTCTGCTCCTGCTGCTGCTGCCGCCGGTGATGGTGGTGGTGGCGGGGGCAGTGGAAGGCCAACGGGCCGGCAGACAGACGAAGGGGACGATGGTGATGGGCGGGTGGGGGCGGAAGGAGGACGTGCCAATGCTGTGGTGAGGCGGGCCCAGGTACCTTCGCCTGCACCCCAGTCCCACTGTGCGCATGCGCTCTGCTATCTCCCTCACCTTCCCGCTACTCTCCCTCCCCACTGATACCTGCACTACCAGTGAGCCCACCCCTAGCACCCCTCCTCCCCACCCCCCGTCCCCCGCTGTGCCCACTGCGCCAGTGCGCGGTGCGGCGGGTGCGAGGCGGAGGTCGGTGGAGCGGGTCCAGGGGTCGCTGTCGTCGGGGAACCACGCACACGGGTCGCGCTGCCACACATCGTCGTCGCACGCCCGCGTGAACACAGCGGGCGGCACGGCGGGCAGCAGCAGCAGCGGCGGGCGGCGCTCAGAGGGCGTGGCTCTGTCTCTGCGGCGGTGGGGGGCGTCCCACAGGCGCACGTCCCTCATGCGCCAGTCCAGGCGGTGCTGCAGTCGCTGGCAGGAACCTGCCATGCCCTCCAGAGAGGAAGCAGCAGCAGCGCCACGGCCACGCGCACTGTGCTGCCACGCTTCACCCCCATCGTGTGAGTCTGAATCCCCCCATGCATCACCCACCCCCGCTGCTGCTGCTGCATCTCCCGCTCTCCCTCTCCCCGTCCCCCCTTCCCCCACCAGCACGCGCACGCGCCTCTCCAGAAAGTCAAACTCCACCCGACACTCCGAAGCCTCCGACTGCCACGTCACCGCCAGCTGGCCGGGCCGTTGGATGAAGCCCACGTGGACAGTGGCGCGGTGCAGCAGCCCCTCGGGCGCGCGCCTGTGCTCCGCCACGCGCTGCACGCCCAGCACGCGCCCGCCCACGTGCAGTGGGGCACCGGCGCGTTCACAGCGCAGCAGCGAGTCTGCGGCCTCTGGGGAGAGCAGGTCCGCGTACGCCACCCCCAGCGACGCCCACTGCTGCCGCGCGCCACCCACCACGCGCGTGCACCCCTTGATCGTCACGCGCCCCACCGCGTCCCCCACTGCGCCACGCAGCACGCCCGCCAGGACCTCCGCAGAGGCCTCCGCGGGGACGCCCTCCACGCGCACCCGCGCGCTCCGCCTGCCCCTGCCGCCCCGTCCTCTGCCGCTGCGCCCACCGGCGCCGCCGCCTCTGCCCAGGCGGCGCGTGAACATGTTGCGCGCGCCCAATCCGTTTGGTACGGAGAGCACCTCCGCGAGGAGGGTGAGAAAGGAGTCCGCACTCGTGCCGTCCATGCTCGCGCGCTTTGCTTCCCCGCGCCGTCCACAATCTTGGAAAGGTTCTGCCACTCCCACGCCTCTGCCCTCCTAACAACCACTGCGGTCACCGAAGCGGCTAAGCGAAGAGCGCCGCTGCTTCAACTCTCGCCGCCGCACTCACGCCAAACTGTTTATTCGATTATTAACTCCGCTTTCGCATCCCCTCGCCGCGCGTACGCTCAGTGCTTCTACTCGCACGGCCCTCGCTTCGCCTCGCGCGCAGCCCAGCATGGATCCCACTTCCGTGCGTTCACTCATCTGCCTCCGCCGTTTCCAGGGCTATTCCGTGCGCGGTGGTGCCGCGCGGATGGCGGAAGGAGGTTATGGGAAGCGGCGGAACATTTCCACCAAGCGGAATCGTGCGAGCGGGCGATGCGCGCGCGCAGAGTGACCGTATGGGCGGATGAAGAAACAGCATGAGCGAGGGGGAAAACTGAGGTAAGGCAGGAATGCGATGTCACCAAGGGCTCGGATGGTAGCATGGCGACTGGGACGAGCCTAGGCGCACTCAAACACGACAGGACGCATGTGGCTGTGCAAGCATACAAATTCAGCTGAGGGCAGCGTCGGTAATTCACGAATGAATTTTTACTCCCCAAACATTTACTGTTGCTGTCGACTGAATGTGTACGCTTTTGGGACTGCGCGAGCTTGTTTGCATTTAGTGAACTTATTTTACAGCATATAAAAAAGTCACATGGATTTCTTCTCTCCTCACACGAGGGGTTTTTTATCAGAGTAAATTGCTCTGTTTCTCTGAAAATCAGAGTGGTTTTTAGGGGGTCACTCTGACGTGTCTGGGTTATTTTTTTGGAGGATAAGTTTTCTCTGATTTGTCAGGGTTCTGATTTTAGCTTCTCTGAGAGACCAGTGTATATTTGTGGCGGATGTACTTTTCTCTGAACAGGGTGTAGGCATTTCGACCGACAACTTCTACTTGTCGAGTTTTAAAACATTGACCTGTAAACGGTGAGCGCGTAGCACAACGCTCAATTTTTTGGTAGGAGTGCAGAAGGCCTGGGTTCAATACTTGAGAGGACACTCAGAGTTGGAAAAATAGGTACGCTGGGTGCCCAGAGTATATTTTTCAGAAGTTAAGTTTTCTCTGACAAATCAGAGTAACGCTCATAATGAACCCTGAATTTCAGAGTTCTCTAGAAAACAGCTCTGGAAATCCGAGTAGTGAAAATCCAAAAAAAGCCCTGCCTCACACCCATCTTCTATAGCTTGACTTCCATGAATTCCAGTCCTTCAGAGCTTTCAATGTAACCGATAATGTTCCCTGTGTTGGAACAACCGAAAGTTCATTATAACATTCCCGAAGGTTCTTCATCAACGCGTCACTGTATAACGGAACAACACGCTGTACTAGTACCGCAATAGCTCATATAGAGCATGCGGAAGATCGAGAGTCACCTGAAGGTCAACAGTCGAAGACACTCAACGGTCGTGACTCTTGACCATCCATTAACCGCACAAAAGTTACGCGCTGCAACATGGTAAATGTCGAACAATTGTCGTGGTTACTGTAGCAATGCAAAACAGTAAATAAGGGAACATATCCCTCAGAGTGTGAAACAATGAAAACAGGAATGAAATGACTAAGTCAGAGTTGGGTACAAATACAACCCTAGAAAGCTGTACCCCATATGTGCTACCCCACTATAGCCTACAAACATGCATCAGTTATAATAATCCGACACACCCCATAGGCAAAGTGGGGGAGAACAAGGGGTCACAAGACCAATCAAGCAAAGCAAAGCAAGCTCAGGGTGGATCACAACGTCACCACACAGTCCGAGCACAAGAGCAGGGCCAGAGGCCAGTTCACATGCAGGAGTACAGACATATATATAAAACTAGACACGCAAGAGCAGGTATATATATATGTCACAGTACAAGTGAAGTCAAGAGGAGAGCAAGTGAGGCAAGACAGGCACAAGACCCAGCTGGGTGCAAAAGCGCTGATGGTCACAAGGCGCGAGTGCCTTGGTGAACACATCAGCAGTGTTGGCCTCAGAGGCCACGTACGCAAGTCGCAACTGACCACGCTGCTGCAGCTCACGAGCAAGGAAGTAGCGGAGAGCAATGTGCTTCGTTCTGTGCTCCAAGCGCTGCTCTCGACACAAGGCCAGCATGGCCTTGTTGTCTACGTACAGCACTGGAGGAGAACGAGGCGGCTCTCCAAGGTCAGTCAGCAGGTAGGTGAGCCAGCGAAGCTCCTGTGCAGCCATGGCCCCGGCGTAGATCTCAGCCTCACAACTGGAGCCGAGAACCGAAGACGAGCGAGTAGACCGCCACGAGACAGAGCCGGAACCAAGGCTGAAGGTGTAACCCTATGACGACCGCTGCGTAGCCTGGTCGTCAGCCCAAGAAGCGTCCGCGTGGCCGGTAAGGACCACTGGACTCCGCCCTCCAAGCACTAGCCCCATGCCCGACGTGCTGCACAGGTAGCGCAATACCCTCTTCGCTGCAGCCATGTGCTCCGGTCTGTGTCTCCCAGGAGCAACATAGCGAGCAAGAATGCTCAGAGGGTATGCAAGGTCAGGTCGTGTGCAGGTCATCAGGTACATGAGGCAGCCAACAAGCTCTGCATACGGACCACTCGACTCTACGGACTCATCCGAAGGCAGAGCTGAGAGTGAGTGGCGAGTAGGCAGAGGAGTGGCCTGAGGCGAGGAGTACGTGAAGCCGAAGCGCTGAAGGACCTGCTGCACCATGTGTGACTGAGTCAAGGTAATGGTGCGGCGTGCTCTGTCCCGAGTGATCTGCAAGCCAAGGTAGCTGCGCAGTTCACCCAGGTCTGTGCACGTGTGTCTCTTCAGCAGCTCGGACTTCACGTAGGCGAGTCCAGCAGTGTCTGTTGTGGCAAAGACCAAGTCGTCGACGTACACGAGGATGTAGAACGGCGGCAGGGAAGTGTCGGTGCGAAGAAACAGCGACGGGTCAGCAGTAGAAGGAGCAAACCCAAGGGCCGCAAGCGTAGTCCTCAGTGTGTCGTGCCACTCACGCGGTGCCTGGCGGAGACCGTAGACTGGCCGTCGGAGGCTCCACTGGGTGCCAGGAGGGAAAGTCCCAGTGAAGCCAGGTGGACGGCGCAGCCAGATCTCCTCGTGCAGGCTACCCTGCAAAAACGCAGTGCTGAAGTCGAGAGAGTGAAGCTCGTAGTCGCGCTGAGCGGCTATGTGCAGCAGCACCCGAAGAGTAGTCATCTTCGGGGTGGGAGAGAAGGTCTGAAAGTAGTCAACTCCCTGCCGCTGACTGAAGCCACGAGCAACGTACCGTGCCTTGAAGACAGGTGGAGAGCCCGGCGGCCGCTTCACCCTGAAGATCCACATGCCACTGACGATGTTCGCCCCAGGAGGGGGAACCGCGTCAACGTAGGTGCCTGTGGACTTCCAGGAAGCCATCTCTGCATCCATAGCTGCCTGCCACTGAGAGGAGTAGGGACCCTCTACGGCCTCCGCGTAAGAACGCGGAGTCGGGATGTCTAGTGCATCCGGGTCTCCCTCAGGGGCAAGCAGTACAGACGCGAGATGAGGTGAAGCAGCCGCTAGACACTGTAACTCCTCCTGCCTGTCCTCTAGGACGTCCGTGCCAAGAGCACACTCACCCCCGACGGACGGAGGACAGACAGACGCAGACTCAGCAACAAGACTAGTAGCGTAGTCGAGACGACAGCGAGCAGCAAAGTCGACGAGCTCAGCGACTAGAGCAGACGCAGCAGTGGACTCAAAAGAGGGGTCAGTGACGACAGTAGCAAGCAGACGCGTGACAGTTGAGAAGATAACTACTACAACGGGAGCTTAGAGTACTGGCTAGGCACGTGTGCTCGTGTGATGTTTGCGTTCGTTGGTCCTTAGACGTTTTCCTAGTGCTCACACTGGTTGCTAGTTCACGGGGCAATTTGGCAAGAGTTTCACTAGAGAAAGTTGTCAATAATGGTCCAATGAAGTTGGCAATGCAAGACTACATCAGAGCTAGCATTCAGGTTGGTCGACTGCCAGCACAGCATGGTCGACCGCGTTCCAGCACGACTTGGTCGACCACGCTACAGCAGTGCAAAGTCGACAGCTTGCCAACGCTGCAGGTTGACGGTGTGCCAGCATTGCTCACGCAGGACAGCAGTGCACCCGCTTTGCAGGTGCGCGCAGATGATTGGCATGCAAAGTCTCGTCACCTGCACAGCGCACACACCACGTCAACCTCGGGCTAGCGACTGCCTCTGATCCGCCACGACGACCTCGGGATACCACCATGGAGGTCGGTCTCGCCAACTTCGCCTGGGTGACCGTCGCACTCCTTCGCAGAAACTCGTCACCCAGGTATCCTGGTCGACCGGGCAACTATGTCGACCAGCTGCTCCTGTATGTGCTCGTCGACCTCCCAAGTCGACAACCACACCAGGTCGACCTCACCAGGTCGACCACTCCTCCGGTCGACCAGATCCAGGTCGACGTCACTCCTGGTCGACCAGTGCAGTTGTCAGCTACCCAAGTCGGCGTCACCAGGTCGACGCCCCTTCTACGTCGGCGCCGACTTCCAGACTGACCTCTTGAAGTTGGCGACCTCCCAAGTCGGCGACCTTGCAAGTCGGCGCCGACTTGCAAAGTCGGTGACCTTGCAAGTCGGTGACCTTGCAAGTCGGTGACCTCCCAAGTCGGTGACCTTGCAAGTCGGTGACCTTGCAAGTCGGTGACCTTGCAAGTCGGTGACCTTGCAAGTCGGTGACCTTGCAAGTCGGTGACCTTGCAAGTCGGTGACCTTGCAAGTCGGTGACCTTGCAAGTCGGTGACCTCCCAAGTCGGTGGTATTGCAGTGGCGCCGTGCAAGTCGACCAACCCCGTCGACCAGCTCGTCCAAGTCGGCGTCGCCCACTGCTGCAAGTCGGCTGTACCTTCCGTACACCCCACCACGAAGTCGACTCCGCCCAAGCGTGGACGGGGCCAACACACAACTCCCGTTGACACTCCCCT